TAAAAGTAGAGATAAAACAGATTCAATTCATTCAATTAGTAAAAAGGGACAAAAAAAGAATGAAACTGACTTCATGACACTGTCGTGGTAAGCAACAATATTTGCACTGGGACAGAACTGCAGGGCGCTCTCCTTCGCCACCTGAAAAAAACCAAAGATATAAAGAAAACTACTGGGGCAGAAGCAACACACAGAAAAAAGATTTTGTGCAGGCAGCCGTCTGGTTCCTGGTGTTTACGTACCTGAGCTTTAGATTTGCCAACATGCTTCTTCTGAAAGAGAAACTGACGATTCAAGTTGCTGACATCGATGGTGTCCAAGTCAATCTGCAGGAAGAAAAGGGGTTGTAGTGCTTAGTCAGGTTTATCTGTAACGTGATTTACTTAACATCAACAAGTTCAATCAAATTGTCACTCACACAAATGCAACTTCACAAAACTGGGTTATGTTTTGTACAATTACAACATAAATATCTGCTGCTGCATATGATACACAGACAAATGAAGGATGCAGATTGGAGGCTTTCCAGCAACACTATGACAAGCTCAGTTATATTTAAAAATGCTCCTGCAAGTGTACAGCGCCCTCCAGCGATTAACACCAGCGACTTGTTCATTCTCCAATTCCAAAATAGTCTCAGCAGACAGTGGCATTTATAACAACTACAAGGTTGTATAAAAATATATATATATACCCTTCACAAGTGAAGGTCATCATTGTGCGAGAAAACCTTGGTCAAAACAATAAATAAAGTAAAATAATCAACTCATCTCTACTGTTAATGCTCAACAACAACCTCAGCACTCTTTGGCAGAACTCATTTCAGGTGCATGACACATTTTTAAATAACTCAACTACAAAGTGCCCTGAAGCTACTCTTTCCTTTTTCTTTAATTCATCTATAACTGTAAAGACAGATTCCAGAAGAGCACTTGTGCAGAAGCTGTCGACCTTCTGATTGCTCTGTAGAAATGTATTTTTATCGTGCACTTCTGCATTTTATCTGTCGGGTCAGAGCTGCTGATAATCCTATTAAAAGTGATAATACATTGTATTGGTAGAGCAGTTTAAACAACGGTCCAAGTGTCTAAACATAAAGCAGCTAAAGGTGAATAACCTAACAATATGATATACAGATCATAAAAACACTTTGAGATATAAAACAAAGGTCCTGATCAAATTTTAAGAGTTGAATGTGTCTCATATATTTGTTATTGTATGTTGACATCTAATCTATTTTAACATTTGTGTCAGGATATATTATTCTAAAGCTCTGACTTGACATTGTGTGTTTCCTTCTTGTCATTTGTCGATGTGACCACAGAGCATTGAATCTGGAAGGTTTCAGTCTCTGCCTCTTTGTTACGAGTCTTGTATTAATTATAAGTTGCCCGACATGAAACCAGTTGTTGTTGGATGTTAGTTACATCGTTGATTGACTTGTGAATATAAAGATAAGATGAATTGATCCTGCACCTCCTGGGAAATTCACAGGACATCATCTCTTCCACATATAAGCCCAGAGAATGTGTATAAACTGTATCTGTCTGTATTTACATCTATAGATTTATATGTTTATGTTGATTTGTGTTAAAAGGCATCAGTCAGATCACCAGTGACCCGGTGACAGCTCAGCCTGTTTCACTGTTCACCATCGAAACCTGTCGTTTCCACTAACATCAGCCAAACCGCTTGAATGTCCAATGGAGTAAATGTTTGATAGAGCGTGTTAGCGTGGAAATCCTCCACCCAGCTAACAGTCACAACACAGACAAGTTGTCGCGCTAACTTCGCGGGGTTAATGGCGCCAAACACCACAACAGCTTTAACCGCATCGCGTCGGGGCCCGTCTACACCACGACGACACCATCGACCCCCCCCAGCGGGACTCGGGCACGGTCTGTGTGAGTTAGCCCGCTTTCATTGACACGTCCCGGGGATTAGTCGGAGCCCGCACACCTCCGTGCAGCACAAAGACCTAGCATGATAGCTATCTAGCTAACCGGCTAGCATACACACACACACACACACAAACAAACGTGAACGGACCACTTCGATGTTTTTGAAGCCGGTGAGGACGAGGTTCTTCAGCAGCTCGCAGCCGATTCCTCCCGCTCCCACCACCAGCACCTTGCAGGTGGAGAGGGAGTCCGCCAGCTCTCTCCGGAGGGAACCCACCAGTTGGACCATGTCGATCGGCCGGAGACAGAAGTGGAGGCTTCGACACCGGGATGCTAACAGCTAGCTTCTCCTCACAGAGAACCCGCCCTCTTCCTGGTTTTCTTCTTCGCTGTAAGAATTCCGGGGCGCCTCGCGAAGAAACGTGAGGTTTGATCGCCCTCTTCCGGAGGGCGTAAAAACTGGTAACATGGAGCATTCCTACTTTAAACGAGTTTAGTAAGTTTATTAGAAATATGTCGTCATCACAATAAGACAAAATGTTCTTCGAGATTATAGAGAGTAAATCTCTCCCATTTTATTTTTAGAGAAGTTTCCTGCATGTGCCTGACTTCAGATCCTGTGTCCATTTGAATTTCCTCTACGGGGATTAATAAAGTACTTCTGATTCTGATTCTGATTCTGATAGTTATTCATCAGTGGTTGTCTTCTAGTGGCGTCCCTTTCACTCTGATTTCCTTTTTAAATTGATAACCAACCAACCCACCGGTGAACAGATACACTCAGTCCTCGTCAATATTGAATCGGACAGAGCAGCCCACGATTAAAAACACTCTGTTCGTCATGATATGGATTTTTAAGAACGTGTGGGTGTGTGTGTGTGTGTGTGTGTGTGTCAGAGTAAAGCAAACATGAATCACGAATGCCCCGTGATGTGGGTCAAGTTTCACCTTTGAGTCTAGTTTTGAGAAAATCACTATTCAAACTCCAGCAGTAGGAAGAATCGTCTGGAACCTCAATGATTTGGCTGAAAATCATCTGGAGAAGATTTCCTCTCATTGTCATGTGCACGGTGATGTGAGAGGATTTCCATGTGGAAAGATGCATGAGGCAACAACCATGTGCCCTGTTTGAAGAGGAGTGGGTGTGAGCACGACTATCTGAACAAACAGAATGTGTCACTGTCAGGACGTCGCCCTCAGCAAAAGTAGAAAATAAGAATTATTTTGTTTTACAGTCCAATAATATATAATTGATGATATTAATTAACCTCATTTACTGAGCACATTGTTTCAACCTTAACCAGAAAGTGCTTTCCTCGTGAAAAAAGAATAGAAATAATGAAATACAAATTAAAAACACATGAAACCCCTCTATAGATGCAGATGTTGAAATATGAAATCATGTATTATATTGTTAAGAGATAAATACAAAGACAGTTCAAATGTGGTAAAAAGAAAATATGGTCTAATTTTACAAAAGCAAATAGCAACATGCAATAAAGTTAAATATGATAGATGAAACTAAATAAAATCCCAAACTGTGAAATGTAGTTGTTTTAATATCTAATAATAGTAATGAGACATTGTCAAGTGTAAGACATCTTCTTCACAACCGACCTCAAGTTTGAAATGGAGTCAGTGAATGTTACAATGAGCAGGAAGCTGTTCCAGACACGGTGGACCGTAACTGAAAACTTTTCCGTCCAAGTTTCCCTTTTAGGTTTCCCTGGAAACCTTTGTTTTTCACTTTGGTTACTGGCACAACTTCATGTTTTTGATCAGCTGATTTCAGGGACCTGGCTGGACTGTCATTTTTTTTTTGAAAAGCTATTCAAACCACACTGTGGACGGCTTTAAGAGTTGGGAATAAAACTTTAAAATATATTCTAACTGTAATTTGGTGAATGCTACTAAAACTGAGGTGACATTACAAGTGCTGGTTTAATAATCTGCCACCAGCCTCATTAAAACAAACACTGAGACAAAACACATTTTAAAAACTACACGCTGGAACTTACCTGACAATTGCTGACGAGCAAATGAATCAAAATGAGAATCGACTGGTTGTATTTACAGAATAGAGAACTTTAATCCCGAATAAAGTTAACTCGAACTTGTTTTTGAGTTTTAGGGTCTCACGCTGAGGAAGTCGTGTTGTTTCATGATGAACATATCACCAGAGGCTCAAAGCTGGAGTGAAAGATTTCTAACACTGATGCCTGGAGGACTAATGAAGGGATTATTACTATCATCAGTTTCCTGCTGAGGCCTCCTACGTTACTGCTGCTGCTCTGTAACCATGACAACAGCGAGACGTGGTGACGTTTCAACACGCTGCCTTCAAGTGCTCTCAGGAATTTATTGGTTTAAGCTTAAAGTTGGGTATTTTGTTGCGAAAATAAACACATGGGACAGGTTTAAATTTTACATTTAAAGGTTGAAAGATGATGAAAGAGTCGTGGATTCAAGTGCGACACGTACCAATGAATATTACACGTTTTTCCCTCTAAATTGTGGTTCTGCAGAATCAAAAAGGATTGTGCATCGTTTTTTGGAACACAATACGCAAAGAGGAATACTTGTAATTTATATTAGAATAATTTGACATCGTAGTTTATGTTATTCCTGCAAAACAATCGTTATTTCCACATTAAGGGTCTGAAGGTTTGGGGTTGACGAGGAGCTTGAATGCAGCACCAGCGGAGAGTGGTCTGTTGTTTCGGCCTCTCACAGCTGGAACAGGACTTTTCTTTAAGTAAGTAACTTATGAGTTTATACTGTAAATACATGAAATGTTTTTATTCAACCAGAACTGTGAAGTCAGAGCAAATCAAACATCAGTTGATAAATCTTTTACTCGTTTTAAGAAAATCAAATAAGGCAAAACAGCTGCTTTTTTTGGGGTGAGAATGAATCTCCTCTTGTCAGTTCTCCCTGTCAATCATTCACTGTGTGAGAATAAATACGTGTGATCTGGAAGAATCAATAGGGCAACGAGTAAACCTGAGTCCACGCGTTCTATTGGTCCGTTTGTCTGCGTGAGTGTGTGCACGTGGGCTGACGAATATTTAGCTTATTATTCTGTGTTGTGTGCAACAGTTTCACTCAGGTCAAACGTGCTGTGACTCTGACCAACACTTCTGCAGAGGACCAGGTGATAAAGGTCTGATCTTCCTCCTCCTCCTCCTCCTCATCCTCCTCTTCCTTCAGACCGACCCTGTCATTCAGTCATCGGCTGGTGGAAGGAATCATGGTCTCCTCCATGCACCTCTGCTCGGTGCTGCTGGCTGTGATCCTGCTGGGCCTTCATCACTCCTCAGGGTTCTGGATTATAAATGTTGTGTTTCCGCCCAAGGCCAAAAACAGAGTCCTCAGCAACAGCACTCCGCCACTCATCATCGGTAAGTGTCTGAATGGGCCCCTGAAACACCATGTGTCAGCCGGGCTGTTTCCATTGAAAATCTATTTGGCAATATGCACCAGGAAAGTTTAGTTTGAACGGACAAGATCTTTAATTTACCAACCAACTGAACAACCTACTTACTGACCTACCTTTCTACCTATACTTACTTATCTACCTACCTTACTACATCCCTATGGTATCAGTCTGACTGACCAACCTCACTACCTACCTACCTATCCATTTACGGACCTACTTACTGACCTACATGCCTACCTACCTACCCATAGATGGACTGATCCACTTACGGACCAACCTACATACCTACTGACCTACCTATACTGACCAACTGGCCGATCTATCTATCTATCTATCTATCTTGATGTCCAAGCAGTGTGTTACACTCTGTACATTTGACCCTGTATGTTTGTGTCCTTCTTATCTACACTCAGGGTTTAAAGGCACAAAGTGCCAGAAGGTGACAGAGCGTTCTTGCTCTGCACTCGTCCTCCACCCTTCAGCTGTTTCTGTTTTAATCTGTCCATGAACCAATTTTTGGTCATCCTCTGCTATTACTGCACAGATCCTGGCTCCAAATCTACCAGATGGTACCAATCATTTTTGGCTTAATTTCTAAATAGTGGAGGAAGTGAACAGTCCATGGTTGGGACGTCCACTTTGAGAGCAACTGACCCACTGTTTTGATCTTTCTGCGAAGTGACTCTCTGATGTGATTTATACGATGTGATTTATACGTGTGTGTGTGTGTGTGTGTCTCCAGTACCAGGGAACCTGGGGAATCGTCTGGAGGCCAAGTTAGACAAACCCACGCTGGTCAACTGGTTGTGCTACAAGAAAACTGAACATTGGTTCCCCCTGTGGATCGACCTCAACATGTTCATGCCGATAGGTGTAGACTGCTGGATTGATAACATTAGGTAACACCGATTGACCCTCAATGTCCGTCCTCTTTCTCTATTGGAGGTGAAAGGTTTTCAAACATTTTCCCTTTGCTCAACATCTGTGTTTTACCACGTGTGAAATATTTCTGATCTTTATTCAGAAGTTGAAGTCATTGAAATTCTTATTCTTTGTCAGATAATGTGAAAGTCACATTGCAGAGGGTTTTTGATCAGGTAGATTAATATGAACGTCCATGTGTGTGCCCTAGACTTGTTTACAACAGGACGAGCCGGCGGTCATCGAACTCACCGGGGGTGCAGGTGCGAGTGCCAGGATTTGGGCAGACGTTCACGATCGAGTATCTTGACTATAACAAACTGGCTGGTGAGAGAAACACCTGTGTACTAGTGGATTTAGGGGGNAGGGGGGGGAGGGGGGGAGGGGGGGATTTGTCCAAAGATTTAACATAAATGTTGCTGGGTTTTTTTCTTGCAGGTTATTTTTACACTATGGTGGAACATCTGGTCAACATGGGCTACACACGAAATGAGACCGTCCGAGGAGCACCGTACGACTGGAGACTAACTCCCAGTGAGTAACATGAATACACACTCACGTGCACACTCGTTACTACCGGTTTGTCTAAAAGTCATTACACGTTTTGATCAGAGGAAAATTCTCTATTGATCGGTTCATTAATGAAAGTCCCTGCCTCCTGTCACCTCTCCTCGTAGATGAGAATGAAGAGTATCTCATGAAGCTGAAAGACCTGGTGGAGGAGATGTACGACCAGTACCAGCATCCTGTTTACCTGCTGGGACACAGCATGGGCTCCCACTACGTCCTCTACTTCCTCAACCACCAGCCTCAGGCCTGGAAGGACAAGTTCATCAGGGGCTTCATTTCCCTGGGAGCTCCATGGGGGGGCGCTGTTAAAGCACTTAGAGTCATGGCATCCGGTAAAATAAAACAATAGAAAAGAATCTGTACACGACACTGTTGATATCACAAAAAAGGTTTCCTATACACTCTTACTGTTTTATTTCAAAAAGGATCAACAGCTTCCCAGGCCAGTGTTAACTAAATGGAACCTGGTTTGATTCAGTATTTCATATTTCATCCGTTCATTCATGCATGTTTGGCTAATTCTTCCTTTTCATGTTCTTCTCATGCAACTGTGAATTATGTGTGTTCACCGCAGGAGAAAACGACGGCATCCCGATGATTTCCAACATCAAGATCCGTGAGGAGCAGAGGATGACAACAACAAATCCCTGGATGATGCCGTCTGACAAAGCCTGGCCGAAAGATCACGTGTTCATCTCCACGCCGACCTTCAACTACACCAGCCAGGACTATCACCAGTTCTTCAGAGACATCAACTTTGAGGATGGCTGGTAAATAACGGCTTTGATGTTGTTGCATATGAAACCGTTCGTGGGTCCAGAAGAAGCTGTGGAAATCTGATCATGTGCAGGATCTGGTTCTGCTGCACTGATTATTATTATTATTTTTAGTTTTAAATGTTTCATAGTGAGTCGATCATAAAAATAATAATTATAACTAAAGCTGTCATCATCTCCGTTTAATAAACACCCTGTTGTTTTCAGGCACATGTGGGAGGACACCAAGAACCTCACGAGTGATCTCATCCCACCCGGTGTGGAGGTGTGGTGCATGTACGGCGTGGGCCTTCCCACTCCGATAACTAACATTTACGATGAGGATTTTCCCAACGTAGACCCGGTGGACTTTGTTTACGCCGATGGGGACAACACGGTGGACAGCTTCAGCATGAGCCTGTGCAAACGTTGGGTGAGGCAGCAGGAGAAGCCCGTCCATGTGACGGAGTACAGAGGCTTGACCCACCTGGATATTGTTGTCCACGAAAAGGTGATCAACCAAATCCAGGACATCCTGGAGGGCAAATCAGACACACCTGAAGAAGTAGATGTCAGATTTGAAACTGAGTAGCAGATATACACAAAAAATGTTTTTAACAATGTTAAATTTTGAGTCTATTAAAGTGTCAGACAAACTACACATTGCCACACACTGTAGCTCCTACATGTTTAAACACCCCCGTCATGGTCCAAGTTCGTGCAACAAACTATTCTGGACTTGTACACAACTTGTCCCTGACCCCCCAGCAGATAACTGTGACCCTGTTATCTGAACTGTATGCTGAGTTTAACTGTTTATTTATGTTCCATAGTCTATTTTGTTGTGTCTTGCCCACACAGTCTGTTGTATAACCTTACGTCTGGTGGCAGTCATGTTCAGACACACAGTGTTGAACATGTACATCATTATAGTTACAAACATAGAAATACGTTTTTTTTAATGAAGTTTTCTTTCTTACTTGTCGTAGTCTGTGTATTTTTGTGTGCGTATTATTTACATACAACTCTAAAATAAATACCCAATCATGATTTGTTTACTTTTGATAGATGGTAAATTCATCATCACATCCTTATTATAGACAAGTACACACACACACACACACACACACACACACACACAGGGACAGAAACAAATGATTATAAATGTTCCCTATTATTCATAAGGTTTAGATAAAATGAAGAAAACCGAGACCGAGGAAGTGGACGGTGAAAACATGTGTTTGATATCATTGCAATATTTCTGTTAGGATTTTTATGTTTTTAGATGAATGTAAAAAAAAAAAGGTGATCATTAAATCGTGCATGTTGTAGCACATGAAACCAGTGATGTAAAACTATAGATATGATCTTACAAGTAAAATGTTGCTTTGTAAACATGTCATAATAAAAGATCTATGGTATCAAAGGTCCGCTGTGGTGAGTGATCCAGTACAATGTGTACATAAAGAGTGGATAAACCTACGGTGGCCGAGAGATCTCAGGGCACTGCAACTTAAGAAAACACATTGACCATTGTTCCAAATGCTCAAATGCTCAAAAACCACCAAAATCATCCAGCTGCTGCCACCTAATGTAGGGTGAGGGTTCTATGTGGGGTAGTTGGATCACTCTTAATGGTAACTGGATGAAGATGGATCACTTTCTGAGCAGCACTTCTATCAACAACACACACTTCCTGCTTCTCGCTCTCTAACCAACAAGAAGCCAGGAAGGTCTCAGACTCAGGTAAAGGTGAACAAATATAGAGGTGGATTAAATACAGCGTTACTGTTCTTATGAAATATTTAAATGTGTAAATAGACTTCAAGGCTCCAAGACTTTATTTGTCATGAGCAGTCGATTGCAATGAAATTCTTGGGTCACAGGCTCCATCTAACCATGCTCAGAAATATTTAGAAAGAAAACCACACGAGCAAAACACAAATTCAAAAAAATACAATAAAAATGTAAAATAAGATAAAACTTAAGTAATAAAATAAAATACACACCTAAAATATAAATTATAAAATATACAACTGAGTAGAATTAACGAATGGGAATATGTAAATAACTCTAAACATTATAAACAAATTTTTAGTAAATTAATCATAAACACATGAATGAACTCAACTTTCAAGCAAACACAAAGAAGAAGATAAAAAATAAAAAATAAAATAAAACCATGTTGGTGTAAATAGCGACCTCTGTTCGATAACATCTGAGCTCGATGACTTTTGCCTTGATAGCTGAAGTCATCTCCCCGGATCGACTGATCTGGGATCGATTGAGAAGCTCGTGATGTGTGTTTTCCGGTGATCGCTCAGAGGCTCGGTAGAGTCGGTTGTGTCGGTTGCGTCTGTTGTGTTGAGGGAGAAGACACACACAGCAGACAGACACGCTAACCCACAGGCCGGACCCTCCGGAGAGGCGCCATGGCCGCGGGGCTATGAGACAGCGGGAGTCATGGCGGGTCGGCAGCGGGTAACCGCGCTCTGTGCGCTGCTCCAGCTCGGCTTGTTGCTGCCGCTGCTGTCGGGTCGGAGCGCCGGGAGACCGCTGGAGGGATGTACCGGAGAAAAGTCCCGTCAGTCGGCGAGACCCCCCGTGGTCCTCGGTGAGTGTTCCCCCCCCGTGTTTCCTGCGCGTCTTCCCGTTTTTCCTCCATCATCACATTGTTGCGCAACTTGTTGTCATCATCCCTCACCTGGAGTCACATCCACGCGAAACCAAACCCCGTTCAAGATATAGCCAGTTTAAAACCGGTTGGTGGTTACAGGTGTTGCACGGAACGCGAAGCAACAACAAAAGCCTCGGCTGACGACTTCGTAGCTACACTTTAATTCGGCTCGCTCAAATCCATCCGGACTGTTTGTGTTTTTAGTGAATTTCACTTTTTAACACGTTTGGCCTCTCCGCTCCCACTGTCTCCACCCAGTGAAAACACTCGCTGATTTATCGCGTGTAGCACGTTGGACGTTGTTTTGCTTTCAGGCTAAAGATGCGAATGTGTTTATTCAGATTGTGTTCGGGTTGAAGCCTGCTTCTGAAAAGTGCTCAGTCATTGTTTGTGTCGGTGCAAATGGAGGCTGAGTTCTTCAGCTGGGTGGTAAACAAGAGCACTTAATAACACACACCATGTGTGTGTGTGTGTGTGTGTGTGTGCGCGTTTGGGTGTGTATGTGTGTGCGTGTCCAGACTGGTCATATGACTGATTCCCAACAGATTTTTCCAACAGGGAAGTTTTCTCAGGTTTCTGTGGAAATCTCTGTAACTTATCAATTATGAAGTTGTTATGTGAAATTCAAATCCAGGTTAAGAATAAAATCTGAACTCGTGTTGTCACTTTGTTAAACTCCTGCCATTCTCCTTCACATTAAGGGTCTTGAGTTCAGAAGAATCTTATCAGTGTCTGTTAATTCCAGCCGCAGCCGCTGAGATAAGAGCCTGAAGCTGCCTGATCCAAACTGACCCCCGAACTGTTTGTGCTTAAACAACCAGTGTGTCTGTGGATGAAACTCTTGATTCAGTGAATGAAAAGAGACTCAGTCACAATCTAAAAGTGGTTTTTTTTGTGAATCACGGTGCTGCTGCAACAAACCCAGGTCCCTGCAGATTTCAGAACATTGTAAGATCATGGAACGATGCTTAAACTACTGTGGCATTGGGATTCAAAACAAGTTGGCAAGTTACCAAACGCAACCACACTGCGGACGACAACGCAGCGTCCTTGTGTTTGCTTTAATGTTTTACAGAGCCTGATGGTTGTATAAGAGGAAAAGTCAGAGAGTCACTCAATCATTAGGATTCATCTCTGGGGCCTTGTCTGAAAAACTAACAGAGGATTTAGAACTGTGTGAATTATCCACACTGGCCTCTCCAGATCCATGAGCATGGCTACATAGCAACAAACTCTCAAACTAATCTACACACCTCACACACTCATCAACCTCCTTATAAGTTTCATTATCTTTCTCTCTCGTCTTCAACTTCCGCTCATTGCGTACAGTGTTAATGTTATGAACTGTTTCCTGTGACTTGGCCGTAACCCTGCGCTCACGTTGCCCGTTGCAGTTCCTGGGGATCTGGGGAACCAGTTGGAGGCGAAGCTGGATAAACCCAGTGTGGTTCATTACATCTGCTACAAGAAGACCGACTCCTTCTTCACCCTGTGGCTCAACCTGGAGCTGCTGGTCCCTGTGGCCATCGACTGCTGGATCGACAACATCAGGTGTGACAGGGATGTAGTAAAGTAAAGTAAAGTAAAAATCCAGATCTATGAATTTAAATGTGGTTTCATCAGAGGAGTGTTGGGCCTCTACTGAGGGGCCGCTCCAGTCGATCTGACAAACTCCACATTCCAGCAGGGTGGAGGCGTTAGATGGGTTCAATGACCTGGCTGACTTTTCTTTGAACTCTAATCAATGCACACAAGATAAACTGACCTTTGAACCCGTCATTAATCAACAAGGTAGTGAAGGACACAGAGGGGGAGATAGTGCCTCTTACATGTCTCCATCAGCTATCGTATTTTAATCATTCAACCCAATTGAAAAAAATATATTGTATAATGGGATATTTTTATTTTATTTACAAAAGAGAAGTGAACAATAACTTGAAATGAGGATTGATTTGTTGAACTTTATTTTCACTGTGCTCTTATTTTGAAATGAAGGCACCACGACTGGATGGTGGAAACCATGATCGACTGGCCGATCACATGATCCCGAACAAAACATCTTTCATTCCAACTGCAAAACAGTTCTTCTAAAACTGACTAACAACCGTAACCATATTTAGTTGAATTAAACACTGAATTTGTATTTATTTACTATATTTTTATAAATAAGACATTTGTTTCTGAACATAAGTTCAACTCGGTGTGAAAACGTTGGTGCATTAAGCTGATGTGTTTGACTTTTAACAGTAAAACAAATAACGAAGTCTGTAAACTGCCTCGTCATTGACACAACATCTGCTCAAAGTGTGTGAACATTATCCAAACAAAGGAAAACACACGAGCAGCCGAACTTCTGAATGCATGAAAGAGGACACTGGTGTGTCGAGGTGTTGCCAAGGAAGGAGGAATAAAGCATTGTTGTTGTTTTGAAACTTAATGACCTTCTTCCTCACACGTTTCAGTGCATCAGACTCAACGACACAGTAGAGGTTCAACTGTCCGTCTCACCTGTCGGCAGATTTAGTGAAATAACTTTAATACACTCAGGTAGAGCGAGGTGAAGCTCTGAGCTTCATGAATTAAATATATTATTGTGATTAGAATTTGTTCTGATTTATAAAAGAGCCCAGAGTTTATTTCTAGTAAGAGTTTTATCTTCCATAAATGTTCACTGCGGCTCAACAAACCCTGTTTTTTTTTTCTCTCTTCTGTATTTGTGCCATCACATGGATTTAAAACAGGAAATATTTCAGTTTCCTTGTCGTGAGATGTGTAAGTGGTTGACCACAGTTGCAGAACTAAAAGTGATTGAGCCCTCCTTGTGACGAAGTGTGTGTGTGTGTATGTGTGCAGATTAATCTACAACAGGACCACACACAGCAGCCAGTCCCCTCCAGGCGTGGACATTCGTGTCCCGGGGTTTGGACAGACGTATCCCCTGGAGTACCTGGACCCCAGCAAACGCAGTGTGGGTGAGTTGAAGACAAAACGGAACCTCAGAGGAGTTTTAAAACTTCCTGTAGAAATGTCCTCACATGCTGCTGTCACTTCTCGTGCTTTGGGTAAGAGACTCAAATGTACAATACTTATTTTTGTCTTTTTCGTGTGTGTGTGTTTGTCCTAGGCATGTATTTCTTTACAATAGTGCAAGCCCTGGAAGAATGGGGATACACCAGAGACGATGACGTCAGAGGAGCCCCCTATGATTGGAGGAAAGCCCCGAGTAAACAAACACACAAACACACTCACACACGCCCTCAGTCTTTACCCTGAAACATGAATCATGAACCATCACTTGGCTCCAGAAGCACTTACAACCTGTTTGCTGGTGTTTAGTAAACCTGTCTGTGATTCATGTGTTGAAGCTGCCGACATATTTACAACACGCACACAGACATGACATCAGGCTCCTGCTGTGTGTTGAGGTCTTTGCTTTAGTGTCCAAATAAACACTTTAAATACACTTGATTTCAATTTGATTTCAGCCAATGTATCTGCTCATCTCCTCTGTTGTTCTATGTTCCTCTCCCAGATGAGAATAAAGAGTATTTCCTGGCGCTGCAGCAGATGATTGAGGAGATGGCAGAGAAAGCTGGTGGGCCCGTGGTGCTCATCGCTCACAGTATGGGCAACATGTACACCTTGTACTTCCTCAACCAGCAGCCTCAGGCCTGGAAGGACCGGTACATAAAAGCTTTCATCTGTCTGGGGCCGCCGTGGGCCGGCGTCGCCAAGACCCTCCGCGTCATCATCTCCGGTAAGAGGGGGACTCTTCCAGAGTTAAAAAGTGTCTGTGGTAAAGGCAGCTCCCGAAACACCTCGTCACTTCATCCTGCTGATACTTCCACATCACTGGGATGTCACTTGACATCATGATGATGCGGAAGTATCACATGTTTGAGTGTCTCGTGTTTCAGGTTCTGTTTGTCTCTCAAAAACGAAACTCAGCTGGTTTCTGGGTCCTGGTCTTAGTTAGTTCTTCTCAGTTTCACTTCTCTGCTTTCTTTTCTACAGGTGATAATAACCGCATCCCAGTGATCAGCCCGTTGAAGATTCGCTCCCAGCAACGTTCTGCTGTCTCCACCGCCTGGCTGCTGCCCTATGCCCACTCTTGGGCCAAAGATGAGGTGTGTGTGTGTGTGTGTGTGTGTGTGTGTGTGTGTGTGTGTGTGTGTGTGTGTG